TACACACTAGAGTCCTGTATATAATCTGACAAAGCTTTGTGGGTTGACAATGATAAACAAAAACAAACCAAATGCATGTTTTCATGAATGGCTGCTGTTGTGTGTTTGCCAAGATGATGGTGTGTGTGAGTGTCACTGCGTATCCCAAAACACTGACAAGAATGAACCAACCGTCTGCATGGTGATGTTTATGAAACTAGTGATTATCAAACTATGAACATTCCTTGGGGATGTAACATATCAGAACTTATTTACTTTATATTTACACAAGAATATTGCTGAAGAAAACAATGTCCAATTCTTTTCTCCTCTAATGCTGAATGACACTGAGTTATTGTTGAGGCATTTTAATCCAGCTGTTATGCTATCCAGGTGCTATCAACTCTTACATAATGTAACATGAAGTGATATCAGAGAGCCCCTCTTCACTTCAATCTGTAAGTACACGTCTGCCTGTCATCACTATTGTGTGACTTGTGTGTATTTTTTTCTCACTAAGCACTGTGCATTTGTTGTTTGGTGATGACACACTCAGTTGTCAGCCTTGAAAACTGCATGTGCAGCACATAACCTGGGCGCTTTAATAGCTATCCACACGACTTTGCAATTGCGAAGTTTTCAATTTCTTGCCCAAAACGTGATATTTTGTGGTAGGAAGTCAAGAGAGGAAGGGGCAGAACCAGCCTCCACCAGCTGTTCTCTTTAGTCTGCGTTTTCCGACAGTCCCTCCCTCCTGTAAAGCTGCCCAGATGTAATGGCCGACCTGCCAGTCTGAACCACATCAAACCTTACAAGCAGGAAGCTCCCCTTCACTGTTATTACTGAGATAAAGATCATCACATGCACCATTGTCATCCTGCACAACATAAATCTGTGTTTACACCTGAAACATCAGCCAAGGAAATTATGACTTCTGCTATTTCTGGGAAGCAGATAAAAAACAAATAGTTTAAGAATAAAATGAGTACACTTAGAGTTTAAATTCTTAAAGCTTCCTAAAGTTTATCCTGAGCATTTAAAGCACGAACAGTATAAGCACTCAGCTTCAGATCCTTGACCCTCTTTGTCTCCATGACCTGTCTCTGAACCAGCACCTTTCCAGAAACAGTCTCTGCAAATAAAACAAGCTGCTTCCAGCTAACTACTAACCCTATTTGTCTCACACAGTAAAATCTCACTCTGTCACTCTCTTTTACCTGCATCCTCCTCACTGTGAAATACTCATCCCAGGCATTGCAGACAGTTTCCTCCAACATTGGCCATTAAACATGAAAGCTGGGCTCTGACTGGAAAATAACAAGTCCCAGGTCTAATTATGCTGGTTTAGTTTATGACCTGTCAGCTCATATCCATTACCCACAACTGCAGAATGGTGAGCAGCCTTTCAACCTCTGTTTCCAGCCTGCTCATCACTCCCCAGACCAGGTGGGAACGAGTGAAGAGTTCACTTTTCGCTTTTGTCTTCTCCTTTTTAAGTTAACAGTTTTACAACACGTATTGATTGTTTTAGTTTGGACTGCGGACTTTTACTGAGAGCCACAAAATTTCTCACAGTTTCTCACAGTCTGCTAAAGACATGATTCAGTCGTCTATGAGAGGCATTTTCTTTAACATTGAGTTTAATTGTCACCTCCAGACTACAGACAAATAAACCTTGAGCTATAGGTTTTCTGATTTTGGACAGGAAACACGTCTGTCAAATTTTTCCAGTGAACAGTAAAACTAACTGAAAATTTTCAGAGAAGACACTTCAATCAGATGGAGGTTTAAAGCTATGTTTGTATAAATTTAAGAGCTGTTTACACAGAAAAGTTTGTCATCTTTAACTCTTAGAATACAGCCAGTATTTTAAACATGACCCATCTTCATTTCCAGTTGTTTTGCATAAGGACTAAAAAACTGACACCACATCAAGAGCATGTTTGGCAGGTTACCAGCAGTTTTTTTTAACTATTATATTACATACTGTCAGGTACAGGTATGATTAGAGACCACAAATCACTGAGACAAAGGTGAACAAGCTGTTGCTTACCATAATTTTGCATCATGTTGCATCGTGTCTTTTGATTTGTCTTATAACTTAAGTAAATGTGACACTATCAGACAGAAATCCAACTAGATGCTATTTATCTAAATATTGTTAAAGGTCCAGTGTGTAGGATTTGGGGGGATATATTGGCAGAAATGGAGTATAATATCCATAACTCTGTTTTCTTTAGTTTTTAATCACCTAAACATAAGAATTGTTGTGTCTTTGGTATAAGCCAGTTATACCTACATATGGAGCAGGTCCTCGTTCATGGAGTTCACCACTGTAGCCCAAAATGGACGAATCAAACTGTGGCTCAAGATACGCTTTTGCATTTTTGCTACAGTAACCATTGTTCTCCTACATGCTTGGAACATAGAAGTTCCGGACCTTTAAGGTCAAGAGTAAGTGAAGTGTCCTAGAAACTATGTTCATATATTGTGCTGTTTTCCCAGTTGTGTCATGTTGAGAAATTTAGTTGCTTTCTGGGTTATGTGTACCATCCATCCATCTTCTAACTGCTTCATCCTCTTGAGGGTTGCAGGGGGGGCTGGAGCCTATCCCAGATGACAGTGGGCGAGAGGCAAGGGACACCCTGGACAGGTTGCCAGACTATCGCAGGGCTGACACATAGAGACAGACAACCATTCACACTCACATTCACACCTACCGACAATTTAGAGTTATCAAGTAACCTAATCCCCAATCTGCATGTCTTTGGACTGTGGGAGGAAGCCGCTGACACGGGGAGAACATGCAACTCCACACAGAAGGGCTCCCACACCCGGGTTCGAACCGGAAACCCTCTTGCTGTGAGGCGACAGTGCTAACCACCACACCACCATGCCGCCCTATGTGTACCATGTGTTATACTTTTTTTTTTTTTGAGTACATGAAGTTCTGCATTCTTGTACTGCGCAGAAGTTAAAGGAAGGTGGTTGGGGTGGTGATGATTGCTAAACAAATTGGGGTCACTTCCTTCTGTGTGCGGTGAGGTTTAGGTACTTTAGAATGGCTTAGGTAAAGATGGTGGTTTTGGTTAAATATATAGTCATATATTACTTAAAGTAGGTTGGTCTTTTTCACAGAAGACATTTTGACATTAAGATAGTAGTAAAAGCACAGGTAGAAATAACCAAATTAGTGACAGCTGTATTTCATTTAGCTACGTCAGGGTCCTGTACTGTGCATGCTGGTTCACTGTCACACTGTCATGGCTCACTTGAATTGAAAAGAGCCATCCTTGGACGCATTTTCCACTGACGTTTGTCAGCTGAAGATCTATATTATACATTTATATATATCATTAGATGTAATTGTTATCCTTTTAGTTATCTTGAAGACCCGTTGCATGTGAGCAGGTATCTTGAGAGCTGAGTGTGTTTGCTGAGATGGAGATGCTTGGGATTTCTGAAGCCTGTGTTTTTATTAGAGCGGAGATGATCCGTGACTGCTTACACAGAGCATCTGAGCAGTTAGCTTCTCTGATGTGAGCTTATCGTCAGCTGTTAAGAGCGGCGTGAATTCCTCGGGCCTCAGGCTTCAGCCCCAAGTGTTTCTGAGCAGATAGGAAGAGAGAGGGAGCACAGGTGCAGTTCTGAACTTAACATCCTGCAGCACATGATGATTAGACCGAGAGGGCCCATGTCACAGAATGATTTTGGTAGCAAAGAGGTGGATACCACGGGTAACTGAAAAGGGCCAGTGCCCTTCCTAGAGTCTGGATGCTGCCCAGAGCAGCAAAACAAATGAGTGCAAATGAGAGAGCTGGCGAGCCCAGTCCAACTGACCTCTGAGGGGCCAACTCACCCGGGTTGCATTGTATTTCTTTTTAAATCATTATCATAATTATTTTTATACTTTTTTTTGCATTTCTTTTTTTAGAAATAATTAATGCATTTATTTAATATTTTGATATATTATTATATATTTATTTTTTAATTATTTTATATTAAGTTTTTATATGCTTTTAAAATTAAATATTACTTTCACACTGATTTATATGATGTCTTTCCCTCTTTTTATTATTAGCTCAGTCATTCTTCTTTCTCCTGTCTCTTCTTTATCAGCTACAAATATACACACACTCACACACATGCACACAAGTGCCCTATATAACCACCCTCAGTACAATAACAGTTTACTTATTTATAACACCCGATTTTTGTTTGTTTGTTTTGGTTTGGTTTGTCCTGTTTCATCTATATTCCTTTTTCCATCTACCCCCATGTATGCATTGTATGTAACTACCTTGATTTTTTTTGTACTACCCTTTGACCTTTGCACTTAAAAAATGCTTTCAGACCTATAGATGAGCATGAAGATTCATTTTGCTGGAAACAGTCTTTCAAATAAAAATAAAAAAAATCAACTTGGCGCACTTATGAACTATTCCCTCAGTCTTGATCAGTGGATTGAGTTTGCTCAGCTGTCATCGTGTGTCATCACCTAAGAGTGGAACTTTGGTCACGTCATAATGAAGATGTAGGTCGTAGGATGCAATTAATAGTTTGTGAAAAAGCTAATAAGTGGACCTTGAGATAATATTATTTTGCAGACAGCCCTGTATTTACTTAATGCACAAAGTTCTATTAAAAATAATCAATTACAAAAGCAGTCAAAGGTAAAGTAGTAATAGTTTGAATGATATACTACATGTTGTGACTTTCTCAACCAGCAGAGAGGCTCCGTTCTGGGTGCAGCTTCCAGCGTGTATTTATAAACTACTGGATGTCAGACTGTCAACGTGATTTACAATTTTGGGGACAAGCACACTTTATAATTTTAGATTTAATGGTTATGACTCCTCTATTTTAATTCCTTAATTCAGGACGGGAAGCTGTAACACAGCACTCCCAGTGGTCGTATGTGAGGGCTGTGGAGCTGCAGTTTAGGGTGGGGGTTTTCCCTGTGCTAACACCTGAGCTGGCTGAGCAGAGGAGCAGCTGCAGCAGAGCGTCTGTGAGCTTACCAAGTTCCTGAAGAGAACCACACAGGGGCAGAGAGGCGGTATGTCTCACACAGGACAACTGAGAGGAACGTCCCAGAATATGCTGCTCCTCTCCAAATCTGTTTAAAAGAAGCCAGGGGGTAACAGTAGGTGGTTTAGAGATGTGAATCATGATGTTGTACCACTAGGAAAGAATCCTTTTAGGGCCAGTATGGAGAGAAAACAGTGACAAATAGTTCTAGGTGTATGTCGGCAACACATTGGGATAGGTTCAGTTCTTAAAATGTTGCTCATGAAAGGGAATTTTCTTGCAAACGGAAGAAGATTACGCAATATACAAGGAAATTAACAGACTGAATGACAGCATAGTTGTAAGTTCTCGTTTTTGTCACTTGATTATGAAAATGTGTTGAAATGAGTCATGCTGAAGTAAGTCGAAACTGAGATATGAACATGCAAGTCTACAGTAAATTCAACAAACTACACAGAGGAAGCTGTCTTCTTTCAGTCCTGAGTGGTTGAAGACATATGTTTTAATCAGCAGATGAGTGTTTGTACCAGGCATATCAGTGACAAATGTTAAATACCAACCTCTCAACTGACAGACATTGTTGCTGTTGTTCTCATTTGTCTCCTTCAGCGACTCCACTGAGGTCTTGTTGGAGACGGTGCCTTCATCGTCAGTTTTCTCCTCCACATTCTGCTCCACAGGTGCAGCAGGAGGAGGCTGCTCAACGACGTCCTCTTTGGGTTTGTCCTCAGAGCTGTCTGGGGACGGGGCTGGGGGTGCAGACTCAGCGCTGGGTTCGACAGCAGGTTTATCGGCCTCAGCTGTGAAGGACAGCAAAAACAAACCACAAAACTTGTTCAGTGGTTTTCGGGAACATTCTGTTTCTGTTACCATTAATCCAGTTATAGCGTGACACTTAGAAGTCAGAACAATATGAATTAAATGAAACAACACACTGGTTGAGTCATAATAGAATATACTGGAAACAACATTTATGTCATGCCATATATACAGGAAGTGAGACTGTTGCAATCAATGCATTGCATAACGTTGTTGAGACATCATTTAAACTTCTATGACATTGCAGATCTGATATTTGGTTCACTGTGCTCTGTGCAGTGGTGAAGGAAGTACTCAGATCTTTTACTTAAATAAAACTTCTGATACCACAGTGTAGAAATACTCTGTTACAGGTCCTGCATCAAGTTTATTTTTATTCAAATACAACTTAAATAAAAACTAAAACCAGGTGTTAAAAAACATTTTAGAGAACTGAAATAAAAATGTAATAATAATAAATATTGTGTTCTCACAGTGTCTTTAGTTTTAGATTTTGTCAATTTGCTCAAATTTGTTAGCACTACAAGCACGAGGAGGCGCTGGTGAATGTTTATAGAGACTGGGATGACAACATGACTGTGAGTCAAATGCTTTCACAAGGTGCTTTTTGTATTGTAATATCTATTCTGAACTTCTTAAATCTAACAAAAATTAAACTAAAACTAAACATTTAAAAGGATAAATCCTAAACTGAAACAAACAAATCCTCTGTGGAAACAAAACGGAATTGAAAACAAAATAAAAATAAAAATAAAATGTAAAAACTATTGAAAAACACAAATTATTATAACTTTGCTTTGCATTCCACCTCATACGTAAATAAAAGTACGTATAAGCATCACAAATATGCTTCCAAAAGTAAAAGTCATTATGCAAAATGGCCCATTTCAGAAAAACGTATATTATTTAATTGGATTATAATTAGTTACGTAACAATGTGTTCATCACTTAAATGATGCAGCCAATAAAGGTAGAGCTAATTTTATTGACTTTATATACTGCTGGATAATTTAATAATGATAATATGTCAGAATGTATTAGCTGATTTTATTTTGTATCAAAAATCTAAATCTGCAAAGTAACGTAAGTTATCAAATAAATGAAGCGGTGGAGTAGAAAGTAAAACATTTCCCTCTGAGATGTACAGAAATAGTAGCATTAAATGGAAATACTCAAGTACAAGTACCTCAAAATTGTACTTTAGTGCAGTACTTGTACTTGGTTACATTCCACCACTGGTTCTGTGCTTAGCACCCACATAATGACAGTATTTCCATACAGCCTGAAGTGGTTTTGCCCTCTCTGACAGTCAGGGGGGGATTTCTCTTGGGCAAAGGCATTTCAGGAGGCCACCATGTTGGTAATGAGGCGGCTGATTACTGACCAGTTCCTAATGAGCCACAGCCATGCAGCTGTTGGAGGCTGTGGGAAAGTAGGGCAGCCCCATCATTATCTGACCCTGGGTTAGGTGGAGGGAAAGCGGATGATGAAGGGGAGAGGAAGGTGACCATTGCTCTAGACATTACTCTGCCATGAGTAAGATGGCTCCTCAGGCATCATTCCAACCTTCAGAGACTCGTCACGTCCGTCTGGTTTATGGCGGGTGACTAGACACTTTATCACAGGTGGACCCCTGACCTGACTGTCAGCTCAGCATTCTCCTTTGGTATACTCAGAGTGGACATGTCATCTGTATTTGGTATTTGTGTGAAAAGAGATAAATTAGAATGCAATATTTAAAGAAATAGTTCGATATACTCTCTTGCTGTTACACTGCGCACTGAGATAAAGCCAGGTGGCAGTTGACGTACTTGAGAAAGAGTGTGTAGGATTTAGTGACATCTAGTGGTGAGGATTGCAGACTGCAACTAGCTGAAACTTCTCCTGGTTAGAATTCCTTTACAGTGAGCCATCATCCGCAGGGGTCTTCAAAACAAACAGACTATGTGATTAAAACCCATAAAAAACCAACACTAAATTAAGCAGTTTCACATAACTAATAAGTGTTTCTCCAACACCTTTCAGCTCGTTAGAGACGGGCTGCTAGCCCAGAACCTGCTAATATTTGCTCCTCTTTTTTCTCTCATAACTTAAAAGCCACACGTTTGGGAGGTCTTTTCTGGGAGCCAAATTATCCACAGAAGTCTCTTTCTCTCCAAAACAAACAGACCTTGTGATTTAAAGTGGTAAAAACACTGAATGAAGCAGTTTCAAGATGAAAAAATTAGCGCTTGTCCGATGTTTCGGCGTGAAATGGCTGCTAACTACAGTAGTCAAAATGAAAACATGAATGGCCCTGTTTAGAGTCAGGGTTTAGCTTGTCTGTTCTGGGCTACTGTAGAAACAGTGCAACATGGTGGCCTCTATAGACGAGGAACTGCCCCTGTGTAGATGTAAACAGCTCATTGTTGGGTAACGAAAACGCGACAATTCTTATTTTCAGGTGTTTGTACACTAAAGAAAACATACTTATTATATTATATTCAATTTCTGCCAATATATCCCACTGAATCCTACACGCTGGACCTGTAATCTTTTCTTTGTCTCTCTTAGTGGAGCACAGGCCATCCACAAATCTTCTCCAGCACTCTCAGTTCTGGGTCGCTTTTTCCAGTTCCATCCAGGTGTACTTTACTTCCTTTGCCTCTATGTCTGATGATTTCCTATGACGGTTTCTCTTCCCTTGTGTGTTCAGTGTTAGAGCCTCTTTGGTTACATTGGTTTTTGGGTCTCCAAAGGGTGTGTCTGATCCAACCCCACTTACTTTTCCTCATCTCTGTGTCTGTTCTCTTTTGATTTAATTTCTCCGGCATAATTTCATTTCTTATAGTGTTTGGCAGATGTATCTTCAAGATATCTTGGGTACTTGTTGACACAGGTCTGGAGTTTGTTGGTGGACTGAACCATAGAGCCTCCCTGATGTAACACTGGTGTTGAATATCCTGAGTTTGGTGTTTTGGTGTTTGTCCTTTGAGTTCCAGATGGACCTCAGTGAAACAAAAGCTGTTTCAACCCTCCCAATCTGGGCTTGAATGTCTGCATCTGTCCCTCAGTCTTTGCCCACAACTCTTTCAAGTCTTCTAGCTTTGCTCCTTCCGTGTTATTGATGTGCATTACTTTGGTCTGGTCTGGCAGATGTTGCTAGCAGGTAGTAGTTACCTTCGCCGAAATACTGGAAGGAAGGGGAGTAAAGCAAGTAAAAAAAAAAAAAAAGAAAGAAAGGAAGAAATAGCCAACCAGCGACTCTAAAGCTTACTTGCGGAGCAGCAGCTGGGTGCTGTAACTATCCCGAGTATTTTAGATGAGATAAAATAAAATAAGGAGATTTTTTATTGGGCATTTGAGAGAAACAGGCGACACAACAGCACACAGCCTCTCCCTATACACACAATACATCCGTAACATTAAGCAATAGACAGACACACACTTCATCTCTTACTGTACAGCAGTTTGATTGATAGCAGAACGAAGGAAAATTTATACCTGTTCCACTTACAGTTTGGTTATCTGTAGCTTCTGCCTGAAGGCATCAGCTCGTACTCTTTGTGAAGGATGTACTTTGGGTCACAGGTGATTTTAAGGCCCTGCTCTCTGACTGTCTCCACACATATTTCCTGGAAAGCATGCCAACTATTTTTCCAGCCCTTCAGATCAGGTATGGGAGATGTGATTTGAGTTTGACGGACAGGTTACCAAACCATGCAGCGGTGCCATAATGAATAACAGACTCAAGAGCTGCCCTGTAGAACAACAGCATAATGGTGTTATGCACGTCATGGACCCCGAGCCTTCTCAGGAAATGCAGACGCTGACTGATTTATGAACAATCATACTCCACCCGATGAGTCAAAATGAATATCTGCCTAAGTGCCTAAATGTTGGTACTTGCTCAACTCTTTACGTGGTGATTCTTACTGGGCCACTGTCACCAAAAGACCTGGGACTGAAGACCATTTCGTTTTTCTTTTTTCTTTCTGACATCAGATTGTGCCCCTAACACCACTGCATGACCATGGCGGCATCACCAAATGTAGTTGCTTGTGTACTTTCTACATTCTTTCACCTGCTGTTGTCTGCTGTTACAAGAAATGCACAGGACCATCAGATTATAGGGGTTCACTTTCATTTAGTGATGGACGAAATGTCCAAATAAATATTTCTGAATGATTTTTTAATGTTCAGTGTGCAGGTCCAGGTCAGCCGATCGAACATTTAACTGCTCACACATCCCCAACTTTTCCCACTCATCCACTTGCTGTTATCGTAGGGTGGAGCTAATGTTGCCTTGTACGGTGAGTGAATGTGAAGCGATTGAATTGGACGCATGGAGACCTCCACTAGCAAAGGCCAATGGAGGCCAATGATGCACTCACATGTTTCTTGGACGGATGTTCTATTGACAAAGATGAGTTTATACAGTAAGTTGTAATGTGGATGCCACATAGATGCTACAAAGATGATGTGTTGCATGGCATGCAGCTCAGAGCATTTAAACAACAGGTTAACAACATAGTGTAAAGGACACAGATCAGGTGAACCATGATATGTGATTGGGAACACATTTTTCAGATTATTCTGACACCACATGCAGTTTATATTCCTCCTTCATGGCCACATCTCTTGAAAAATGTATTCTTATCTCAATGCAACTTTTACCTGGTTAAATAAAGCAATAGAAAGAGGAAGTCTTCGCACTAAACCCATAGAAAGTGCCAAATGAGACTGCTGATCCTTTGCAGGTGAAATACTTTTCACTTACAAAGGAATGCTCAGTCCTGTTAAAAGCTGACAAATCTTTGATAAGTTTTGCCTTTGTCACTTTTGTTTCCTTTTGTTTAAAATGCCACAGACCAGCCATGTTGTATGATGTGCAGCTTTGCAAAGTTTCTTAGTGCTAATAATAAAATTTTCCACTTAGTTGCCTGGTGGGCTTTATTTTAGTCATCAGTTGGCCCATTGATGTAATGATGCGTTCCTGTAACACTTCACACTTATCACATTAGAACTGTGTGTTTTTAAGGAAGTTTCTCATCACTTGAGTCTCAAACATTTGAGTAGCTTCCACTTCAGATCCAGACAGAACGTCTTAATATGGTATGTGTTAATACATTTAAAATAAAAAAATAAAAAATAAAAAAAAGGCGAAACAGTGTGAGTGTTTCCATGAGGTTAAGGGTGTGAGATGACTGAGGTTGTGGCTGTTAAGATGAACAAAACTGTGGTTATCTTCAGTCCTATCTCACGCACAGAAGTTTCTAGTACGTGCTGCAGAAGCTTAGCCATGGGGTATAATTTGATAAGCGTCTGGCTGATTTCTTTAGCGTTCACTTAACTAATTGAAACACTTGAGATACAACAAGTGAGTTTGAGTGCACTGGACAAGCAGTCATCGTTATCAGCCTGATCAGATTCTTCTCTTTGCCATTAAGTTAAATCAAAACATCAGTGACGAAACCCAGATGCATGATTAGAAATTTCGCTGCCCTCCTGCTCTGATTGTTCACAGTTTCATTTCTTTTCTTTTCCGTGAGAGGAAGAGAACCATCTGAAAGATAGCTGCTTTTCAAAGCAGCCAACAGCACTGGCCATTTAAAGAAAGTGTGGCCCAAGGCAGAGAGGCAGGCCCGGACATGAAGGGTACGTTTTACCTTTCTAGGCCAGCTTGGGTAGATGTCTTTGAGTAAGACAAGAACACTTCAATCATTGTCACACAAAGGAAAATGTCAAAACAAAATGATCAGAATAAGCACATATGGCTGCAAACGTGTAGTTAAAAATGTGGCAGAAAATATACAAATTAAAAAGGAAGCAATTCAAAAACATTTTGGCCCCATTATCTAATATCTGTTTTTTTGACATGCTGCATATGAAGAAAAAGGCTTTGATAGTTCTTAAATCATAATTTGAATTATACAGAGCACTCATTTTTACAGCAAAATGACCTCATGCTTAACACACCCTGTCAGCTGCAATTATGGCAAACTGAGCATACTTGTATTTTGTTAAAAACCCCTTGCAATTCCTGTAAATTTCGCCTAAAATGCCTATCCAAGGCGTACCCAAAGTAAATTGAACGCTGTTCTTGAACCGTTTGGAGTATATGGATGGTTTTGGTCTCTTTTGAAAGGAAACACTCTAAATTTTTTTCCCAAACTGTAAGGATCACTGTAAGTGCTACTGTCATTGAGTAATCTAAGTTTGAACACACTGAAATAGAAGGTTTTTTATTCTCGCCTGAATTTTTGTTGAAAAAAGATGTCTGCAGATGAGTGCAGCTGGGAGTTATTAGCTGGAAAACACAATGGGACCACCACATGAAGCCTTACCTAGTCCCAGTTCAAATGTGATAACAATCCTACAGAAAATTAGTATTTGACACATGTTTTTCTAAGGGTATGTCCAGGCGTTTCCAAAAATGTGCCATTTGGATACTCCAAAAGGACCCTTGGATAACCATGGTCACACAGCTGGATAAAAGGGCATAACTTTTGAACGCTTCAACGTACAGTCATCATTCAGGGCTCTAATGAAAGGTGACACTTAGAGGTATCCTATCCCATACCCAGAATCACTATCAATATTGCTGAAAAAAAAAATCATCATAATAATAATAATAATAATCATAATAATCATAATAATAATCATAATAATAATCATAATAATGCATAATAACAGCTGGAAAAGCTGCAGGGTTGTGTAAGTGTCTGTATCTATGAGCTGGGGTCCAGGCTGGATTTGAAGGTGGGCTGTGGTGGGGAGATATCAACATCATTCATCTCTCTTCAGGGCTGTCTGACTGCTCCTGGCTGCTGCTGCTACCACTCTGCCCCTCCCCCTCCCTCTGCCTCTCGCTCTCCTGCTGGGAGCGGTAGCGGTAGTCTCTCTTTGAAGTTGCCCCTCTCCTGAGAATAACAGTTAGTTATTTACAAAACTTTCCATCTTTTCTGTATTCTAGTATTGTAGGAGTGGTTGAGAGCCACACAGACACACGCAAAACTAAAAACAAACTTTGTATTCATTATTTCTCCGTTTTCCTCAGATACTTCTTCCTCTGAGTCAGAGGAGTGCACTGGTCTGCAGCTTATTTGGCACAGTATTTACTTTTTGGCATCCCTTTCGCCATTTGTAACTCTAAAACTCTGTAAAACACCGTCAAACTCCCACCGGACTCGCTCTGCTGCATTCTGTGCGTCCTGTGCGCTCTCAGTGAATTACGCACCATTCACTGACCCGCTTTACGCACTGCCTCAGCTGTTTCAGCGTAGATGAAGTCACGTCATGCGGCATATCGTTGTTTTCAGAATTTCATTGGCTATATAATGCGTCAGTCATCCGACCAATTGGTTCTGATAGGTCGATTTTATTCATGCTAGAAGGAAGGCAGGAGCTTTGTGTCAGCACAGGCTCTCGTTGGCTGTTGCAGGCTGTAGACGGAGCAGGGAAGCTTCTAACTGGTCGTGTGAGGTGTCAATCAAAAGCTCAGAGTCTAGGCTTCATGGGGAATGTAGGATCACCGGTGAACTCGCATGTATACCGGAGTTACAAGGAGAAATACGGCGGAGTTTTTCGATATTGACGGGCGCATCTTCAACGAGGCAGCGGCCGTTTGTGGATATTATTGGAATAATAATGTGTTTTGGACTAAATACTTTACTGGATTCGATCGGCTGGACCTTTGTGAATGTAACAAGACCATGTTTGTGGAAATACTTTTGACCGGAGGATGACTATGAGGCTTCATTGGTGAGTAACGTCAGCTTTGTAACTGTGTGTTTGTTTGTTTGTAGTCTGACAAAGGTGTTTATTGTATCTGCTGTGATGATTGTATCTTGAAATGGTTGGCATCAATTGAATCACAAGAATCTTAGCTTTCCAGGGATATGCGGCATGAGTAGCTCACGTGACATACACGCTGTGTAAATGACGTCGTCTGTGTTTAAATACCCTCAGGGCCCGCGGGCGGGCCGTCGGAGTGGTAACAGGTTCTTGGCTTCCATTTCCATCACGTGGTAGACATGAGTACTGCAGGCTACATTTTCAGCTTGTCTCTCCTCTCAAAGACAGGAAGCAATGTGTGTCAGTTGTGCATACACTCTCCGTCACAGACATTTCAAAATTTTCCACAGAAGTCTTTAGCTGATCTGAAATCATCTACATAAGTTGTGAGAGTCAGGCTGCTGTGAGATTTTCAGGTTTCCTTCCTATGAAATTCACACCAACTGTGCTCACAGTCCAATCACAAAACATGCTGTGGTTTGATGACATTACTTGACATAGCCTATAGTAAAAATTTATCTTTTTTTTTTTTTATTACATATCAGCATTAGGATGACAAATCAGTTCCTGTAGTGGAGCACATTTTCTGATCAGGTTTGAATATTTTAAATGCTTGCAGGACATTCACAGTATCTCACAGTATCCCTGAGTTAAATTAAAGTGTCGAGGGCTCACAAACTCTGCTTCCTTTTATTCACTTTAACTGAAGTTGTAAAAGAGGAAAGAAAATATCACACAATTAGCCCACAAAACACTTCAAAATTCACAACATGATTTGCTACAACTGAAACAAATGTCCTGTTCTGTGTTCTTTGAGCTCAGCTGATACAATGACACAATGAAAAATGATTCTCATTCAGAGGTTTGTACTCACCTTTCTGCTCCTCCTGTGCTTCAGGTTTTGCCTCTGGTTCTTGCGGCTCTTGTGTAGTAGTTTCTGCACTTTCAAAGGTTGTCAGACCTAAAAAGCGTACACAGAACAGGATTTATAATATTTCTGCACAACGTTGTTGATATACACTATGAGTGTGTTGCACTGACCGTTCTGAGGTGCAGAATCAATAGGCAACTCAGGCTCAATAGTGCTCAGAGGGATGTTGGCTTCATCTGGTCTGGAAGTAAAGTCTACAGAGTAGCGCTAAAGGAAATGACAATTCAGAACACACACATTAGTGCCACAACATTAAGAGCATTGGTCGACAATTTGGGAATGAGACAACTGATACCACTTTCATGTCTGTATGCTTAATATAAGGCTTCCTCCAGCAGCAGGAGAATCAGATTAGCATAAAGACTGGAAACAGGGTGATGTTTGTGTTTGTTTGTTGTAAAAACAGCAATGTCATGATGTTACCTAGTCGTCATGCTAAGCTATGCTAACCTGCTGCCAGCTGTACCTTCATATCTTAAAAAATAAGGTATCAGTGTTCTCATAAACACTCAGAAGAAGGCAAATAAGCACATTTCCCAAAGTATTGAACTATTCCTTGTATGGTGTGAAATCAAATGGCTCCTCTACTGACCCTTCCTCTCTTCCGTGCGAAGTAGCAGGCAACTCCAAATGCAAGAGCTACGAGGATAATCACAACTAGGATGATGATGCCTAAAGGAGGTAACACAGTTTGAAATAATATTTATTAAGAGGAAGACATTTGCTCACATTGTGGCGATACAATGTGGTCTCACACCAAGACATATTTCTACTGTTGAGGGCTAAACTTACAGTAGGTGGTATCATGCACTGAAGCACATTAAAATGCAACTCACCAGTGCTGTCGCTTGCTGCTGCTGCTGTCTTTGGCTTAGCAGTGGTGGCTGTAAAAAATGCAAACAAATGTAACATCAAACAGCGCCACTGAATATGAATGTCAGTATAAACATGCTAATGAGCAGTCAAATGTCCCTTCTGTTCATGATACAGTCAGAAGGGAAAGCTGTTCAGTCCATTTTTAATTACATATTCAACTAGTTTAAAGCTGTACTAATAGGGTTTTTTGCCACTTGGGAGCAGCAAAACAGGCTGAAAACACAGTGGTGACATTATCACCTTACCAACCCGGTCTCACAGAAACATGCAAAATGACCACAGCCTGTCAACAGCACATTACGTGGTGGTGGTACGTAAATGAGTTAAAACAATACCAACTGGAAAGTCAGTTGTGATCCTTTGTCATGGTAGACACACAAATTCCTTGGTTCAGTAATATCATGCAGTGTGCAGTGGTGAATTTTACAGCCCAGCCCGCATTTGTATATGGGCCCCATGTAGTTAGCAAATGAGCTGAAAAATGGGCCCTATATGGGACTGTTCAAGGGTTCCATAATGGCCCCACATGGGTGGGTTTACCCAAGTGGGCTCCACATTGGTTATGCAACGGCTACCTGGGTACCAAGTGGGTATGAGGCCCAAAATAGACATAGTACCTTGGGCCCACTTGGGTGAAACCACCCATGTGGGCGATTGGCATGGGGCCATTATTGAACCCTTGGACAGTCCCATACAGGGCCCATTTTCAGCTCATTTACCACCCACATGGGCCCCAAATACAAATGTTGGCTGAGAAGGCCATATGAAAGGCAACAAAGTCCATGTAGAGGGGAGGTCAAGGTGGGGAATGGGTCAGACAAACACAGGACTTTCACCCAGGTGATTGCTGTTTGTGTCCTGTGTGAAACTATAAGTTCTTTTTTTTAAATGATCAAATTTTTCTTTTTTTTGACGTTCACAGCACACAGCAATGAAAACATAATTCTCAAAATGATGAAATGACAACCACAATGCACACAATGAATGTCTGAAAGACACTAAAAGTCAGCGTGGATTTCTTTGAACTTAGAGCACTCATACATTACATAGTTACGTAATGTTATGTAATGAACTTACGACACTTTATGACGTACTTACATCCCATATGTAACGAAGGTTATTTTAACCCAAACCACAGTCTTTTCTAAACATAACTAAGTACTTTTGGTGGAAATACACCACCTATGTCCATCACGTAATGCTATTGGGCCCAAAAAGAATTTTCCCATTAACTTACATGGGAAAGGGACGTCTATAATTGAATGGATGCAATTTTTTGAGTTTCACAGCCCCCAAGATCCCCAACAGTCCCTATGGATTTGATTCATTTGGTCCAACGACATTTTGAAAGTCTAGAAAAGCTGCATGATTGAATCATTTTTATCCCCAAAGTTGGCAGAGAGCCAAACCTGAAATTAGCCACCACACAAACACTTGTCTATTTGCACTTTTAAGAGACACAGAGCTACATCTGCATTAATTTGGAGTTGTGTTTCTGTCCACCTGATAATTGTAACTCCAATATGCACATTCTCAATAACTCTTAAGGGAAATATCTGGCTTCTAGCTGCTAAAATCTCCACTGTGTTCAGCTGATAGTTGCTAACTCTGATAACCCACATGGGTTCCCAGAGTCAACTCAACTCAGCTCAGCTCAGCTCAGCTCAGCTCAGCTCAGCTCAACTCAACTGACTCAAGTCAAGTCAAGTCAACTCAACTCAAATGACTCAAGTCAAGTCAAGTCAACTCAACTGACTCAAGTCAAGTCAACTCAGCTCAGCTCAGCTCAACTCAACTCAACTCAACTCAACTGACTCAAGTCAAGTCAACTCAGCTCAGCTCAACTCAGCTCAGCTCAGCTCAGCTCAACTCAACTGACTCAAGTCAAGTCAAGTCAAGTCAGCTCAATTCAACTCAACTCAACTCAACTCAACTGACTCAAGTCAAGTCAACTCAACTCAACTCAAATGACTCAAGTCAAGTCAAGTCAACTCAACTGACTCAAGTCAAGTCAACTCAGCTCAGCTCAGCTCAACTCAACTCAACTCAACTCAACTGACTCAAGTCAAGTCAACTCAGCTCAGCTCAACTCAGCTCAGCTCAGCTCAGCTCAACTCAACTGACTCAAGTCAAGTCAAGTCAAGTCAGCTCAATTCAACTCAACTCAACTCAACTCAACTGACTCAAGTCAAGTCAAGTCAACTCAACTCAAATGACTCAAGTCAAGTCAAGTCAACTCAACTGACTCAAGTCAAGTCAACTCAGCTCAGCTCAGCTCAACTCAACTCAACTCAACTCAACTGACTCAAGTCAAGTCAACTCAGCTCAGCTCAACTCAGCTCAGCTCAGCTCAGCTCAACTCAACTGACTCAAGTCAAGTCAAGTCAAGTCAGCTCAATTCAACTCAACTCAACTCAACTCAACTGACTCAAGTCAAGTCAAGTCAACTCAACTCAAATGACTCAAGTCAAGTCAAGTCAACTCAACTGACTCAAGTCAAGTCAACTCAGCTCAGCTCAGCTCAGCTCAACTCAACTCAACTCAACTGACTCAAGTCAAGTCAACTCAGCTCAGCTCAACTCAGCTCAGCTCAGCTCAACTCAACTGACTCAAGTCAAGTCAAGTCAAGTCAGCTCAATTCAACTCAACTCAACTCAACTCAACTGACTCAAGTCAAGTCAACTCAACTCAACTCAACTCAACTCAACTGACTCAAGTCAAGTCAAGTCAGCTCAACTCAACTCAACTCAACTGACTCAAGTCAAGTCAAGTCAGCTCAACTCAACTCAACTCAACTGACTCAAGTCAAGTCAAGTCAGCTCAACTCAACTCAACTCAACTGACTCAAGTCAAGTCAAGTCAGCTCAACTCAACTCAACTCAACTGACTCAAGTCAAGTCAAGTCAGCTCAACTCAACTCAACTCAACTGACTCAAGTCAAGTCAACTCAGCTCAGCTCAGCTCAACTCAGCTCAACTCAACTGACTCAAGTCAAGTCAAGTCAACTCAACTCAACTCAACTCAACTGACTCAAGTCAAGTCAAGTCAGCTCAACTCAGCTCAACTCAACTGACTCAAGTCAAGTCAAGTCAAGTCAACTCAACTCAACTCAACTCAACTCAACTGACTCAAGTCAAGTCAAGTCAACTCAACTCAATCAAGTCAAGTCAACTCAGCTCAACTCAACTCAACTCAACTGACTCAAGTCAAGTCAAGCAAGTCACAGGAGGCAACATAAATGTCAGGTACACAGCACACACATTCAGACATCAGAGAAAAACACGTCAGGGGGACTCAAATGCTAATGGTAGCTCTTTAGCCTGGATGTCAGTGGAGGAGGAGGATACCATTCCCCAGTTTGGGGACAGATAGAGTAAAGGCACGATCACCCAAGCTTGAATTTGGAGTGTGGGACAACCAGGAGCCCCAGGTCAGGGGTAAGGGGGCTCGTGCATCATTCATACATAGAGACACAAACAGAGCCAGGACAAACATGACTCATCTCCAGTACTAGCTGAACAAAGATTAGATTAGACTAATGACAGAGCATCAAATGGTACAAAATGGTTTATTTGTCAGAAGACTCAACTCACTTTTCTCTTTGGGCTTTGGATTGGTTGCAGTCTTTTTAGTAGGCTCCTTGGGTTTAGGTGTGGTCACTGAGGGCACTGTGGTGTGGCTTGTATTGCCAGGACTTTCATCACCTGAATCAGAGAACATGTTATTCCACAAGCAAACAATGATACAGACAGGAACAAGAAAGACATGATGATGAGTGGACGGTCTGTAAAGTCCAAAATAATTGTTATAGAGGGAATCCAACACTTCCGGGTACATAGTTACAATAATAGCTCTCACTCTTCTGCTTTGTTGTCAAGGGTGAAATGGTGCTGTTGCCCTTCGTCACATTCATGGCACTGCTGGTAGTGACATCCATTTGTGTTGTGTTGATGATTGGGCTGTTATCAGTGGTGATGTTGTTGTTGTTGCTGCTGAGGGTTGTTACAGTGATGGCGTAAGTGACGTTTGCGCCAAGTTTGTCTGAAGCTGTGGTTATTGCTCTGACTGCTGTATTTGCTGTGACAGAAGCCACAGCAAAACCTGCAGAAAACAAAATGGCCTTTTCAAAACTATTCAATAGGTGAACACAAATGTGAGCAAAGCTAAAGCACAAAACACTGGTTTGAGATCAGATTCAACAGACTTTACTTTATGTTTTTCTTGGTGTTTGCTGGTTTTCAGTTTTTGTGTCTTTGCATACATACAATAAAGAATTAATCACACAAAACAAACTTCACTGCAGAGTAATGTGTTAATGTTTAAATCAGCCCTGCAATGCGACTTGCAGTACCTCTGTTAACTGTAAGCCTTAATGGGCACCAGCTATGTAAGAGCTGCTTGCTAAGGTGTGGCCCTGCTGTTTTACTTATGCACTGTGACTTCGGGTTTTTATCCATTAGCAGTAACATTTTATTATATTATAATTTCCATTGGTTTTTTAACACAACTAATTACCTGATGCCAGATAAAAACTGAACATCTAATCTACAGGGTTCTCAGTAAAAACACTTCTGTATTGACAACAAAACTTAACACTTTGTTAGTGATAAAACCAATGGTTAATGCGGTGTAATCTCGTACGTTTCAATAATACAAGTAAACATATACATAAAGAGCCTTACCCAGGATAAAGAAGGAAAGACCAAGTGAAGGCATTGTAAGTTTGTCTAAAGGCAGCAGCAGGTGGAAAAAGCTACAAAGTCTAGATTATTATCAAAGCTCTGAGCCCGGAGGTGATGCTTTTGCTGCTTTTCTTCCTCAATGCCTCAGAGCATTGCATGCCTCTAAAGGAACCAAAAAAGAGGATCAACGCCTCTGACCACAGCAGGATGCATCAAAGAAGAGTGTTGCTTAAACAAGTAAGCGAGAGGAAACATACTGCTGGTGCGTTGCTTCAGACTCTCCTTTCACTGCACTCTTCTATTTTGGTTCACTGTAAAGCTAAAGTTCATTTTTGCAAACAATATGGCATATTTGCGCAAGCAGATATTTTCCTCTAATGTTTACTTCTTAGTGTTTGAGTGATTTGCAAATTTATTTATTTATTTTATTTCCTCTAAGCCACTGTTTCCCAACATGGGGGTCCTGACCTCCACTAGGGGTCGCCAAACCTCACAGGGGTGCTTGATTTTAAGGTGTGTAAGACAATGTTTGTATACCTATATCTCAGGATTTCATTCATGTCTGTGAAGAAATCTAAATGAAATTGTTATGTTAAAAGTATAGATCATTATTAAAGACATAAACTTTAATAAATTCCCAAGGGATGAGGGCACAATGTAGACCTTCACAAAAGCTATATTCACAGAGCCTTCACTCTCTGCTAAACATCCTCATCCTGCATTATAAATGTACACAGTAAACAATCAAAGAGCTGATAGAACAATGGCCAAGTGTCAGGGAGAGGAAAACACTGAATCCGGTGGTAAAGAAAGCCTAAAAAGTCTGTCGGATTGTTTAAAAATACATGAAACAGACAGAGAATTGTGTAAAGAGTTCCTAAAAACATCAGGAAAACTCATCTGATGCAATATGCTGAACTAAACTGTTCAAAATTCATCCAAATCATTTGTTTTACACAAACTTCCTGCAGTTATTGCATGCACTATTTGGGCTGATCGTACAGTTTATCAGTTGTTCAGTACTGTTCTTGCTATGCGCTGAATATAATATAAAATATCCATGAAATATGTCACTTAGTCAAGTGTTGTCAGTTAACTCAGTGACAGAAAAGGTTGGTAACCACTGATCTAAGCAACACACTGTAAAGTCATAACGACCAACTGTCTGTCTTTTTCTTAAGAAACTGACAAAGTTGCAAAACAAGTGACTTTGTGCAATTGTCCCACTGTTGTCAATAACGTTTTCTGCTCACTAGATGTCGCTGTGACTAAAGGGAAAGACGCCAGATGGGGAAAAGACACTTGCCTTCTTTTCTTGATGAAGGTAACTTTAACTCTGCCTAAATGTATTTCCTGTCTAGTGTACTGTAAAATAAATGAAGCACAAAAGGTTCACATAATGTAGGAATGATGCATACTGCATGTACTACATTTATCAAGCACCCTAACCCTACACATTATGATGATAGTGAGAAAGCAATGATCAGAGAAATTGACAACTATTTTGATTATGAATTATATTTGTAATCTATCAAGCAAAGATCCCAAATTCTCACTGGTTGCAGCTTCTTAAACAGTATGAAAATCTTTGTGATTTGGACCGTTGGTCGAATAAAAACAAGACATTTAAGTGCATCTCTTTGGTCTCTGGGGGATTGTAAGTCTTTGTCACTATTTTCTGTCATTGTACAGACCCAACGATTAATCAAGAAAATAATCTGCAGGAAAAACAACATGCCTTATTTGCTGTATTATTGCCACTTCTTTAATGTTTATAAATGTGTGTGTGCCGTCGTGCATGTGTGTCAGTGTTACTTCTCTTGTGTGGGTGGAGTTGTCGTAAGGGTGTATGTGTGCTCAGCCTTGTAGGTTCATTTATTACTGTTTATTTCCCCATGCCAGTGGTAATCAGCAGCAGGATTAGTGTTAACTGCCACCCAGTCACTGGCAGACTCCACGTGGGCCACCGCAGGCCCCTCCTGCCTGACTGGGTCTGTGCAGGACCAGCTTGCAGTGACGAGGAACTGGGGAGTCCGCTAATCCTGAAGAAAGACCCCCGTCTGGCTTCCTCCTCTCTGGGCCGCCTATCACCACATCACAGAGCCCAGGCACCAACACCAGGCCTGAGGATGAGCTAATCACTGAGAGGAGAGGAGAGGAGAGGAGAGGAGAGGAGAGGAGAGGAGAGTGTGTTTCTAAGTGTATGTGTGAGGGAGACACAGAGAGGGGAGAGAGCTGGACCACCCACCCGGAGGATTCAGAGGCACAGGATTCACAGCCCATTCTGTTGACCTGCCACACCGCCCCAGCTCTGGGCAAGGCCCTCCCCAATTGTTCCGCCTGCTAACATGAGGAGGGGGGTTAGACAAGGGGGGATGGGGGGTGGACGAGCAGTAAACAGTGGGCTGAGCTTCTCTCCTTCAGCGCACAAAGGGGCTGAATTGTGTCGGGACTGGAGCACTTTAGAGTGGCCCTGCCATGGGGCCTGAATGAAACATCTGTGGAGGCTGAGCCCGAGGGAGAAAATGCTATTTTGCTGTTCAACCACACTGACAACCTGTTTTCTCTTTCTTTACCCCCCCATCCCACACACCACCACCACCACCACCACCACCTCCCCTCACTGTTATTTCTCCCTTGGCCTTGTAAAACTATTCATACTGTATACTCACATTTGCCAAGCAAGTAACAGAGAAGCAACAGTAAAAGAGAGAGAGTGAGAGAGATGACTTGAAGGTTTGAATGAGGACTGGAGAAATGGAAACTGGATTTTCATTTATTTTTTTCCACATCCTCCTGAACCTGCACATCATTTTCTTTTTCAGGTCAATTTCATTCAGTGAATATGAAAACTATTAACAGTAGTCTGCACAGTGTGCTGACTGGATGTGAAGGCTTGTTAACTAGTTTGCTCCTGACATAGCTGATAACAAAAATGTTGAGTCCTGATAAGCTATATACAAAACTGCTTAAATGGAGTATCATTTATCAAGTGTTTTGCATAAAAGAAAGGATCAGCATGCAGGGAAAGAGTGACAAATGTGATACTTAATCTAATTTCAGTCAGGACCACTTCAGTCAAAAAAACGTTATTTCCATTTGCAGTATTATATTTGGTGGTATGGCTCTGTTATGGGGCCTCTCTACTTTTCCCCGGGCCTACGCAAAAAGCCTCCTTCACGTGCCTTCGTGGAAAGCATAAGGCGAAGAGAGCACACCTCTCTGCCCTTTCACACGCCTGCATGGAAAGCCTTAAGGCAGAGAGAGCACACCACCCTGCCCTTCCATGCGCATACATGGAAAGCCTAAGGCAGGGAGAGCAGCAGCAAAGACCCCCTGGGAACAGAACAGATCAAGTGTCAGTGACAAACAGAAATGACATTGATAAGTCAGACACAACATGAAAAGGAGGAGCTGGGGTGGAGGCAGGTTGCAAAGCAGCTTGCAGAGGAAGCAGCAACAGTAGGCAGAGCGGTTTAAATAGGGCGCCCTGAAGGAGATTTGCCAATTGGTTGCATAGAAAGGAATCATGTGATCTATCAGTTGACTCCCTTCCATCAATCAGCTGCTCCATCAGTTGATTGGGCTGTTTGAGATCAACTGATGTAGCTATGATGTGAGCTGAGCTTGACATCGTGTCCTGCCTGTTTTTCCATAATCTGATTGCAAATGCTAAAGAAAATCCAGTTTATTACATATTTGGGTCTTGGGTTTCTAGTTTGGCCCTTCATTTCTATTTATTACGATAACATTGTGAGATCTGAGAACATGATGACAGTGCCACAACAATGTAGGACAGACAAGCCAACAATTAATCCATATTATCTAAATCAAATTATTTGGAATTATATCACAAGTAACTAGCCCAAATTTTGGTAATAATCCCTCGTATGTGTGCACACATGTTCAGGAGGAATGGGAGGTCAAAGTTAAACCAGGATGTCAGTGAGTCTGTAAAAATGATGGACAATCTGGAGTACATTGGTACTATTTACAATGACCAATTCAGTCCCAGACACGATACACAAGATATACTATGCAGGATTTTCAAAAGACAAACAATGTCCAAACTCAGAAGAAGAAGTGATACCCCTCAGTCATCACCTATGACCCACTGTGTGTGGCGGTGTATAAAACTGAAGAAACTCATGCCCTCTCCATGTATTTTCTTATTTTCTTCATATTTTCTGTGTTTGGGACATTTATGGGTGTGTACCTCCACAGCTAACAGGTGCCAGGCCTTAGGCAGCAGGAATCCAAGAGACACAGTGCAGAAGAAACACAAATATAGTGAGGCAAAACTCAGGGTTGGCTGGTACTTTCATTTTCACTGATGAGCATGTTTACAAACAGTAACCAATAATCCTGTGCAGTATACCTTTAAAAATAATGGAATCAAATGGTTAAACAGTTGTATCTGGCGGAAAAGAACCTGTCAAAGAATCCAGACAACCACTAGGGTTCTGCTAAGTGATTAACCCCCTTTAATAAACATACCTCAATGTTAAATCATAATTACAAAACACCATATAAGGAAGTGCTGGAGGCGGCCAATCGTGCAAATCAGCAGAGTAAAAGGCCATGCACACCAAGTCTGCATTTTTCGTCTGCGTTTTTAAAATCCTTCCTCTGATAAAAATCTTTACGCACAGAAACCTTGCTGCGTCCCATGTGTTTTATTGTTCCATTCATTGCAAGTATGTGCATTACGAGACATAACGGAATGACACATTTGTTCCTTTGCTTTCCTCCACTGGAGACACCTTCATGCTTTTGCCACTCTCTGCCCGTGTCCTGCATTTGGCGTGCAGTTACCTGGAGGGGCTGAGCTGTCCTCTCTCTCTGTCTCCACACTTTTGCTCTATCTGTGTGCATTCTTCATTCTCTGTTACATCCTCCGCATCATCATCATCATCATCATCATCATCATCGTATACGATATAATATTACCATCTGACCCATTAAAGGTAAACTATATGAGGTATGAAACAATACTGTGCACCCCGTCTTCTCTCTTGTTGAGAAAGTATGTATCTGTCAGGTTACGCCACATTTTCTGCTTCTTGGTCAAACAACTCTCGTAAGGCTTCTGACAGATTTGTAAAAGTACAGAAATCAAACCTGTC